GTTTAAAATTTTGTGATTGATATTGTAAAAATTTGTGACTTGATTACGATATTTTTTGTTACATCAATTTATAGTAAAATTATGCATTTTATAATTAATATTATAAAATTTCATAATAAAATTATATATTTTTTTAATAAAAATACATATAGTATACACCTCCTAATTTGCATAACAATCAGTGTGTTTGGTTTGAGTTTTCTGGATTAAGTTTTTTGAAAACTAAGTTTTTTGGTTTTCGTGTTTTTTTATTTTTAGTGAATATTTTTAAAATTTTAAACATTTTTTTTTAATTTTTTAGATGCACCTTACTTAAATGCATCTAAAAATACAAAATTTGTGAAAAAATATTTTAAAAAATTAATAAATATATAAAAATATAAAAAATGTACTGAATTTTTATATTTTTGGTATTTAGTGAATTTTTAAAAGATTTTTTTTACAATTTTTTTACTTTTGAAGTGTATTTATGTTAGGTGTGTCTAAAAAGTAAAAAAATTGCTTAAAATATTTAAAAAATTCAGTAAAAACAAAAAAACATGGAAAATAAGAAAGTAGAATTTTCTGAAAAATATTTTTGGAAAAATGGAACCAAACAAGTACAATGTTTTGTATTTTTGTGGAAGTCCATTGGGAATGTTTTGTTTTTCGTGGAAGTCACTAGGAAGTGTGAATGCTCTACGTAGGAATGGCAACGAGTTGTGGCCAGGGATTACACTGCCCATCCCCGATCCTCGATGGTAGAAATTTTTCCGTCCCTGACCCCGATCCTCGATGGGGAGCCTATTACCGCCGCCGCCTCCACCCCCTAATGAGGATCGGGTTTTCTGACCTCGAAAATTCCCCGACCAAAATATAAAAAAAAAAAACAACAAACACATATATTCAACAATAGAGATTCAACATATATATTCATCAACAACAACACCAATCATATCTGTTCATCATCAGCAACAACAAAACTCGGAGCTCAAATGTATATTCAACAGATTTGAGCTCAAATATATATTCAACACTAGATTTAACATATATACAACAGATTGAACAGATTTGAGCTCAAAAAAAAAAAATTAACACATTCAGAGAGAGAGACGACGGCGATAGAGAGGCGACAGAACTCTAACGATGATGGGAGAAGGGACAACGGTGATGGAGAGAAGGGACGACGGCGATGGAGAGGAAGGACAATGGCGATGGGGAGGAGGGACAACGGATAGCGGCAAATTGGCGATTGGCGGTGATGGGAGGAGGGAGATTGCCGTCGACGCCATGAGACCAACTACGTAGAGAGAGAGAGGCTGAGGCTGAAACTGAGAGAAATGAAATGAATTATGTGAATGAGAGAGGCAGACTAACATATATATATGGGGAATATTCGGGGAATTATGCGGGGATAATTCGGGCCGGGGCTAGGCTCGGGGGAACCTATCCCCATCCTCGACCCGAAAACCATCGGGGATTCAATTTTCAATACAATCCCTAGCCCTATGGGGATAATTTTCTGGGAAAACCTGTTCTAATTGAGGTCGGGGGATCGGGTCCCCGTCGGGCTGAGTTCAAATTGCCATCCCTAGCTTCACGTGAGGTACATGGTTTAAGTTATTCCTTTGTACTATTTGGTGCAGGTTCACTTATCGGTTACCATAGTAAAATGTTATGAAAGTCGATATTTTAGGTTTATTTTTAAGACTCAGTCATGTTCGTGTAGAAGAGATGATTGATTGATAAATAAAAAAATATAAAATATTTTTTATATTTATTATTAATGTAATGTTGACACATAAAGTGATAAATAGGTATGGTAATGAGATGAGTTCATAGTCCCCCACTCTATTTCCTATCATATCGGTAGTAGGACAAATCAAGTTGGTGGTAAGAATAAGTTAATTTGCATTTGATAGAGTTTTCTAAATATGATTTGAGAATAGGGTTGTATTTTGAGTTTGTAAGTTTTGAAATTATGATTTGAGTGTAGAAAATTTGTTTAGTTATGGTTTTTGAATAGAGTGTTGAATTGAGTTTTGAATTGAGTATGGAATTGAGTTTTGAAAGTTTGATGTGACATGTGAAATAAGAAAACTTGTTTGGTTATGAGTTTTGAAAATAATTTTCAAAACTTAATTCAACCAGTAATTGATAATCAAACACACAATTCAAAACTCTATTGAAATTTTTGATCAACAATCATAATCAAATTATTTTTAAAATTCAATTAAAAAAATGAATTATTAATTTTTTTTTCAATTAATTTTTTTTAAATAATTTTTAAAAAAAATTTCAAATAATTTTTTTTCTTCAAATAATTTGTGTCAATTAATTTTTTAGGCTTGAATAAACATATTTTTTTTGTTTACATTTGTAATATTTTTCAAATATTTTATTCAAACCAAAAACGTTTATAATTTACATTTTTATAAAAATTAACAAAAACCAATTTATTAATTTTTTTTAAATATAAACCAGAACGTAAACGTTACCAAATATTATCAACGTTTTTTCATTTGTTAAATTTTATCAATTTAATGAAAAATCAGTTAACTTGTATTTTTTTCCTCAGCTTTATTATTGTCTCTCACCTCTGCCTCACCTGTGAAACTAGGAATGGCAACGGGGCGGGGCGGCGCCGGGGATCACCCTTCCCGTCCCCGGCCCCGATCCCCGATGGAGAACTCATCACTCCCCCCAACCCCGCCCCTAACGGGGATCGGGTTTCCCCGACCCCGGAAAATCCCCGTACTCATCATCAACAACATTCAGCAACATCATCCAAAAAAAAACCATCAACAACTTTATCAAGGGATTCAAGGAAGCAACATCATCAACAAAAAAAAAAAAAAATAGAGTCAGATCTGGTGGAGGGACGAAATCGACGGTGGCGGAGGAGGATCTTCTCAGATCTGCCATGGCAGAGAGAGGGGGAAGCGAGAGCCGACGGAGGAGGCTGCAAGAGGCGACGGAGGAGGAGGTCGCCGAATCGGATGGTGTCACTGCAACTGCAGTGATTCGGAGGAGGAGGTCGCAGTGATAGGAGGAGGGAGAGGAGGGAGATCGCGGTGATAGGAGAGGGAGATCGGTGGAGGGTTTTAGAGAGAGAGAGAGAAAGAGAGACATGAGGGGCGGTGATGGATGATAAAATCAATTGTAAAATCAATACAGAGGTGTTGGTTTTATGTATTGATGAGAGGTGGTGATGGATGGATTATTTTATGTATTGATAAAGGAAGATAAAGGAAAATTATTATTTTATGTATTGATAAAGGAAAATCAATACAGTGTGTAAAATAGAGGGGTTCAATACAGTGTGTAAATGAGTGACGGACAAGGGTTGGTTTATAATATATATATATAGGGGTAAAATAGTAATTTTATTTCGGGGAAATTCGGGGACGGGCTGGGCCTTGAACACTGATCCCCGTCCCCGGCCCGAAACTGATCGGGGATTTAATTTTGAATACCATCCCTGTCCCCACGGGGATATTTTTTGGGGAAAAACCATTATAATTCGGGACGGGGGATCAGGTCCCCGTCGGGCCGGGTTTAAATTGCCATCCCTATGTGAAACTCATATTATTGGGGCTATTGATTGATGTATTTGACTATGAAAATGCAGAAGACCCATCACTCCTCTGCTAGTTGTCAGTTGGTCACTATTCGATAAAAGAAAAGAAAAAAAAAAAAAAAGAAGCCAAAACTCAGCTATAGATTGTCAGTTGGTCAGTAATCGTTCAAAGAAAGAAAAATAAATAAAAAAAGCAATTATATCTATAGATTTTGTTGACCATTTCTTTCACTGAGGTTTTATATAAGTCACCAACTTTATTCCAACTTCACCATCTTCACCATCTTCATTCCAACAACTTCAGCAACTTCTTCACCATCTTATTTACATTCATTATTTAAATAGTAGCAATACAACAAGATCACAAACCCGAGCCATACAACCACCTCCTCCACCATCTACCTCAATCAATTTGACAACTAATTAATTTCAAAAATTCAATGTAGATATTTACAATTCATATCCGTGTAAAAGAAGAGATGAAGAGCTTTCATAAGAGGTTAGTTTGAACCACAGCTTCACAATTTCAGAGCTGAGATGTAGAAGTAAGCCGAATATTTCAGCAAACAGGTCGACGCGAAGGTCAACCGGTGGGTCATCCGGTCGGTCAACTGGCTTCACTCCCAGCTTCCAGCATCCAAGGCTCAGTTTGGCTATATGTTGCTTGCCTTTTGCACACCATTTTCATATATTTTGCTATACATCTTTCATACATTTTTCTTAATTGTTGTTGTCATTTTGCTTACCTTCATAAGTCATGCCGAGAACAAAAAGAGCTAGACCCGAATGTGGCGAAACCTCTAACCCTTCACAACATCAACAACAGCAACAGCAACAACAACATACCTATCCAACTATTGATTTTCTCACGTACAATCACGAACAAGTTTATTCAAATTTTGCCAACCGACCAATTGTTACTGGGAGAAGGGTAAATCTACCTTCTCAATATGATCCTCTGTTGCTTGGCAAACTGGAGACGATGGGATGATTACCTTTAACTAATTTACCACAGAAGGTATATTCCCGTCTTGTGTATTTATTTTACCTTCATTTGAAACCTACTGAGGGAGAAGTTGAACAGAATAGTCTGACCTCTTATGTCAAAGGTAAAATAATCACACTGAAATCCCACATTTCGGCACAAATTATTAGAGTTCAGTCAGGGGATTTGCAATGTCATTTTCAGACTGAGTATGACTTAGCTAACATTGTTGGTGATATAACTGAGATTTATACCACAATTTGTGAGAATCGATTTACCGATACTAATTTACAAGCAAAACATTTGAAACCCTACCTTCATATTCTTCATCGATGGATAGTTGAAAATGTCACTTCCAAAAAAAGACATTTTGATGTTGTTTTATTTTTTAATGCTTATTTGTTATATTGTTTTGAAGTTGGACAAACATTAGATTTATGTTACATATTACTGAAGGAAATGGTGGTTGCAAATCTTGGTACTCTCAGTAGCCGGTTACTACCTTTTGGAGCTCTGCTAACCAAAATTTTCAAAGCACATCATGTCAGCATTGAAGGTGAAGTAAATGTGAAAATTGCTTCACCAATTTCAGAGTATGCACTAACCCGAGCTGGTGGCGTTGAAAACTTACTGGGATCTATTAATTTTGCAACTGAACCAATACCTGATCTCGAAGACCCCAATGGCAATGCCATGCCACCAAATCAACAACCCCAATACTGGACTGATTATTTGGCGCTAGAACAAGAACGGTGCAATCAACGCATACTGTAATAACTAGACCCTCGCATGTGTTTCTGGTACATTTTCAGTCCCTTATTGTGTGCATTTAAATGCTTATTGTGAAATTTTATGTGAAATTGTATTTAATTAAGTGAATCTTATGAAAATAGATTCATATCTGTCTAATTGGAGACAAATTTGTTACAACTATTATGTTTGGATCAGAAATTGGAAGCGTTAGAGGCTTAATTCTTTGGAATTGATTTTACATTTGAGATCAGCATAATTTTTAGGTAATAATAAGCATTTTTGTAGAAATTTGATTTGGAGTGATTAAACTGATTAACTTTTGCCCTTATTCACAATTTAGATATATATCTATGTTCTTTGTTTATTTGGTTTAGAGTCATTATATAAAATATCTCTTGAGAGAGAATTGGGAGAGGAGCGTTTTAGAGGAAGAGGAAGAGTTCATCAAGGAGGAAAATTGGGGGATTTGAGAGGGTTTATGGAAATTTAAGCTCAAGGTATGTAAATTTCATCTTAAATAACCTCTTTCTTGGATTTGAGTAAGCATGCCCTTTCATTTGGGTGAGCTAGAGTTATGTTTGAAGTGTTGTATGTGATCATTGTTTAATTGGGAAGTTATACTTACCATATGGTTGTCTTGGGGGAACTAATTTGAGCTATGTGACGGAATTGCATCTTGTTTCCTTGTTATTTCATGTGGAAACTCATTTATGTATTGGATTAAGTGATTAATTGAGAGGATGTCTCTTATGTTTGATGAATTTGGAATGATTTTGAACTATTTAGTGAGAAATTATATTTTATTTCTTTGATTGTCATGCTTAAGCTCAACTATGTAGTCAAATGGCCATGTATATATATGTATATCTATGTGTGTGAAAAGTTAGGAATTTCATGGAATTGAGCTATGATTATGAGTTTCAAAGAATTAAAGGCCTAATTGAATGTGTAATCCATGTTGATGTGATGATTATACCATTAGGTTGTCTTAATTCCTCCATTTTTGGGCCTTGATGTGTTGTAACTTAGTTGAATTGTGCTTTGAATTCGGATTGCCCAAAACAGGGGTCACGGCCGCACGTGCGGAGGTCATGGCCGCACGTGCGGACAAGAGAAAAAAAAAATGGGAATTACATTCTGTTTTTGGCCGCTCGCGCGGAGAAGGGGGACCGCACGTGCGGCCCATGTCCGCTCGTGCGAAGGGGACGGCCGCACGTGCGGCCCAGACCGGAAAAAAATGTCTGCTCAGTTTTGCATGCTCGACCCTCTGATATTTTTAGAATAATTTTTCGATGATCTTAAGATGGTTGTAAATTCATTCGAAATGTAATGACTCAGGAAATGATTTAACAAGAAAAAGGAAACTAATGTGTGTGTTATATGTGTGTAGGGCACACTTCGGGAGGAACCCTCGCTCCGCCACAGCACTGTGAGTAATAGTACTAACGTAGTATGCGTTACTTACAGCTACCAATTGCCATTAGCACTCTGTTAATTGCAGGTTAATCATGTTAACGTATATGAACGAATAAACAAAGGTGTATACCTCTGTATGACTCTGATTAATAGCTGATGTGAACATTCTATTCTCCGTAAGTAAATTATGTCGTTTATTAATGAAGAAAGAGAACTTATGTTCGTTCTGGAATAATGGTTTTAGTGTAACTATGAAAGCATATCGTTTTGCTACTAATGGGCTTGAGGCCGTTCAGTTATAAATCATCGAGTATGGATATTTCTGAGGGATCAAAATAATTGGATAAGCTATGTGCATACGTATGAATCTGAAATAGTTCTGTTGTGTTACATATGAACCTGAGATCATTCAGAACCTACGATATGAATGCAAAGGTTTAACGTTATTATGTGCTCTCTGTAATAGTTATGATTCTTATTCTGCTATACGCGAGATAACTGTGTTAATCGGTAATTAAGTCATGAGAAGTTTATGTGCACTATCCCATAATGGTATTCTTAAGGAACTACGGTTATTCTGTTTTTGTTTATCTGTTTCAGTTATGCTATGTTATGACATAATATGCATTGTTCGGTCTTTATGACCTAATAATTTCTGGTATGGAACAAAGTGCTACATGGAACTAAGTGCTGCTATGCGAGTCACCTCTAGAATCTGTGCGAGCCACCTCTTGAGTCCATACATATATGAATGAGGCCTATGGCCGTTCTGTGAAAGTTATGAGGCTTAAAGCCGTTCTGTGAAAGTTATGAGGCCTATGGCCATTTTGTATGATCTGTTAGTATGAAGCAAAGTGTTGTACGGAACTAAGTGCTGCAATGCGAGTCACCTCTAGAATCCGTGCGAGCCACCTCTTGAGTTAATACATGCATGAATAAGGGCTTAACGCCATTCTGATAAGGGTTTAATGCCATTCTGATAAGGGCTGTATGCCGTTCTGTTTAAGGGCCAATTTGTGAAGTTATGAATCTACGAGTGTCACGACCCCATTCTGCCCCTAGCAGAATGGTGCCGTGATAGCCAGTAATCTGAGATTACCAAAGGCCAACTTATAAAGATTCACACACAATCAGAGTATACATATGGGGCTTACAGGTGCAGAAGCAACAAATTTAAATCTAAGTAGTCGATAAGAGCTGTGCATAGATCAAATGAAATGACATACATCTTAACATGGTTTTACAACTTGGATACAAATAAAATAAAGTATATAATACATCTTGATCAAAAGGCTTCTCAAGCTGACATAAACAAAAGAAATAAACTATAAGCCAAGAAGCATAATCTTCAAGATGCTAGCAAAAGTATGAATCCAAAACAAGTTTGCAAAATACACCTAGGCGTCACCGCCTTCCTGCTCAACACCTACATATATATAAGGAGAGGGTGAGCTTGGATACTTAGTGAATGGTATAAGTAATAAAGGTTTGAATGAATGATATCCGAGATTTTTTCCAAAACAATACATATCATAGCTTGTAAAAAAACATGGGATGAATCAAGTTCATCAATCAAATCTTTCAAATCTTCTTGGATGTTAATAACATCTACATAATACCAAGGGATGACATTCCGGACAAACAAACCCACGTGGAAAACCGTCAGTGGCAAAACAAGGGTGCAGTTGCATTATAGTCCCCTGGCACTAAGGACTGTCAAAACAAGGGTGCAGTTGCATTATAGTTCCCTGACACTAAGGACTGTCAAAACAAGGGTGCAGTTGCATTATAGTCCCCTGGCACTAAAGACTTTCAAAACAATGGTGCAGTTGCATTATAGTCCCCTGGCACTAAGGACTTTCCCAAAATGTCATCAAAACAAATATAATACTTGATACAAAACTAGGGATAATCATTCATGCTTGATCAAATACTTTTCTAAAACAAAGCAAAGCTTTATCAAAATTTTATAATATAACTTTATTAAAAAAAACCACTCACATAGCACTTCAGACGTCGGGGTTAAAGCAAGGGTCCAATTCTTACAAACATATGGCAAAGTCTACTAAATGCACTTCAAGGAGACAAGAAGGAATGCTCAAAGATGGATATGAAATGCACTCTCAAGACAAGTCTCACATGAATGCAAATGATCCCGACATTTCTTTCAAAATCAAGTCAAAACAAAGTAAAACATGCGGGGAGTTAAATCACTGTTTTTCATCTAGGGAAAACATGTTGGGTACCAACCAGGTCTTGGAATGAATGCACAGAGATGATCTAGGCAAAAATGACCTAGCTCGGTGAACCCGGGAGGTCTTGGCCAAGGTCCCACACCTCTTGGCCGAGGTGTGGTTACCTAGGCTTCGGTGTGAAGTTACCTGCCGAGGTGTTACAAGGTGCCGACAAGGGTGTACCATGGTCGGCCTAAGTGTGCAGTGGTTAGCCTAGGTGTGCATGCAAGATAGACTAAGGTGCAAGTGATCATGCAAGGTTGGCCAAGGTGAGATACGATGCTTGGCCTATGTGTGAGATCTAGGCAAGAGTGGTCTCGGTGACCACACCTAAGGAAATGAGGTCTGGAAATCTGGGTTTCCTTCCTTGAAGAACATGAAGAACATAAAGAACATGAATGCTAAAATCATAACTTGTTATTACAAAATCTGAGATTTCATGCTATGAGTTCAAAAACATGGACCTTGGTACCCATACTTGAAGATCTTAAAAAAACAAACACAAAAACATGGATCTGGATACAAACTTTCGGATTAAAACATGGTTTTTCTTCAAGAACACATGAATGTCATTTTCTCTTTTTAAAACAACTTTAAATCAATGCATGGCTCATGAATTATGCTAGATCATGCAATGTGATCGAATAAACATAAGATTAACAAGAGTAAAACAAGAATCTAACCTCAACACTCGAATCAAACGATTCTAGGTGTGAAGATCAAGCTTGGAAATCTAGTTCTCTGTCTAAGAACTTCTCTTCGTCTTCCTAGAGCCTCTCTCTCTACAATGCAAAAGGTATGACACAAAATGACATGTTTTCTCTACTGCCAGCAGACTTAACCCTTTGCTGGGACACGTGGCAACGACCGGTTGGTTCTCCTCAAAAAGGTGACTGAGTGAAAAGACAAGGCAAGGTAACAAGGGCACTCCGGCGGGTAAGGACCTCGGATTGGGACAAGGCTTCGGCAAGTAAGGGAACAATGATCTTAGCTAGGAAGGACAACACTTGGCCTAGCTGTGCCACACCTCGGCCTAGATGTGCCACACCTCGGTCTAGGTCATACCAGTCCAGGAACAAAATCACCAGGTGCAGGGATCAAAGATCTCTAATACCTAAAGGATAATATCTCGGCCTAGATGATATACATCTCGGCCTAGGTGATGCACACCTTGGCCTAGATGACGACATCTCGGCCAATATGTCAGGGTGAAGGTGGAGATCAGCCAAAGTGGTTCCAAGATGGTCCTAGGTGTAAGAGGTTCAAAGGTGTGACCTAGGCTTAAGATGACCTCGGCTACACACACACCAAACAAGGAACAAGGCATGCAACAACACTTAGATAAAACAAAACAATATTTTATGAATGCAATTTGACAAGACAAAATCATATAAATGCATGTGAGCATGACTAAGACAAAGTGAGGGTTGTTACAATGAGGCTGAGGGCCAATTTGTGAATGTGAGAATCCACCAGGCCAAGGGCCAATCTGTGATGTTGTGAACTGACGAGGCCGTTCTGAATATTAGTACAGAATTAGATTAACTACCTGTCTTTTACATTATATATGCATTGTTCTGCATTGTAATTCTAGTTGAACATTGAGTTATCCAAGTACTATTATTCACTGAGATTGTCTCACTCTGTATTTTGTCTGATTCTATAGGTAATAAATCTGGAGGTCAGCCATAACCCTCGATGCTCGTCTCCCTTTGTCAACCTCTGTGTATCCAAGCATTTGGGTGAAGCCTACCCGTTTTTGTGAAGTTTGCTAAGTTTTGGCTTATACTCTGTTTGTCTATTATATGTTGAAGTTCCCAATGTTTTTGTTATATGCCCAACCAAGGGGAGGGGTTGTCTATGTGTATGTAAATATCATCTGATTCACTGTTTGTGATCCTGGCATGATAGTGGTCGCTCAATGGATGTAGTTTCTTTTTTATCTCATGTTATTTTATAATATTTAATGCTTCCGTTCAGGCCCCATATGTGTGTATATCAGATTTAATGTCCGTTTCCGATTAGGTCATGCCCAAACTTTTAGGAGCGGGTTTGGGGTGTGACACATACAATGGGAACAACAAATGGCTAATCAGGTTAATACATTGGGTAATCGGTTCAATGAATTTGCCGTTGCTCAGAACTCACTAATTCAACAATTTGGTGAGTTTTGTGTAGACTCTGGGCGACGTGATGAAGTGACAAGTAACCGCGTTGATCAGATTGACCATCGAGTCACTCAGTTGTACCATCACTCTTCCCTCCACCTCCACCACCACCTGACAATGATGCTTAACTTATTTCGATGAGCGATTAAATGGTTGACACATGTTGTGGTTATTTTGTTTTCTTAATTACTACCCATTGGGCTATGAAGCATGGTGTAAGAGCATCTTCAAAATTATATCCCGTATTGGTGCAACTGTAATTGTTTTTTTATTTATCAAATGTCAAATATGAATGTTATTTTGTTGGAGTGATAAGAAAAGAATAAAAACAAACGACAAACATTTATAATTATATTTTGTGATGTGTGCTATAATATTTTGTATTAAAGTTATGAATAATGAATTTAGGATGTGCACTCCAAAATTAGGGATGCTAATGTTATAACACTTTGTGATTTGTGATATAATTTTTTTGTCGAAAAAAAGTTTTGACTTTTGTAGTAAACAAATTATGACATTTTGTATTCAAGTAATAAAATTTTGTCAAAAAATTATGAAAGACATCATATGCATTTTTTTTAAAGTGCATATTATAAATCTCCCTTAAATCATGCACGATTGTCATGAAACCTTAAATTTAAGGCCTCTTAATCATTTTGATAAATTGCATATTTTTGTGCGAATCAATAGTAGACAATATTATTAGTCAGTTTTGATGATTGCAGAACTCAAAATGTTAAAGTCATAAAATATATCTTGACAACTTACTTAAAAAATAGTTAACTCCAATAACTATTAGAACTTTCTTTTACAAGTGGCATTTTTGCATCTTTTACCATTTTTATTTATATCCGGGGTAGATCAATTGTAAAATGTTTTTTTGTTTTTATATTTTTGTTTTATTGAAAGGTAAAATTAAACCTGCATAATACTTGTAAAGAGCACGCTTCAAACTACAGTTGCCTTGTACACATTAAAAAAAAATTAAAAAAAATATAATTGTAATAATACATACAATACTACCAAATTCACATTATTTGTTTACATCACAAATCTACCTATGGCCAATATGATTTTGCCACATAACAATAGCAATTGCATCCTTGAAGTTCGATTGGTACATCAACCCATATTGTGACATGTCAACATAGTTAGCTTGGTCTCCAACAAACCTGTCTGCTGCTGCTTCTGCCGCCATTTCATTATCAGCTTCCATGAAGAATGGGTCCATATTTGCATACAAACGGATCCAATTGTGTACTAAACAACATGCAATCACGAGAGAGCCTTGTCTTGTAGACTTGTAATTTGGCATGGACTACAATATTGGGAAGCGCTTCTTCAGAATACCAAATGTTCTTTCAATGACATTGCGTAACGACGAATGTCGATGGTTAAACAATTCCTTGGGTCCAGAATAATGACGGCCATAGAACTCTTGCAAGTGATAGCGTTGGGAATGAAATGGGGCAAGAAATATAGGCATGTTTGTGCAACCAGCATTCACTAAATAATACTTGCCTACATGTAAATAATTTAGGCAATGCTCTGTCAAATACATGTACACAAAAATGTTTTTTAAAAATGTACAGTGTTATTTGGCGACACTTACTATGGGGTGGATGTGAGAAATTTAGATCAGCTCTTGTAATAAAGTCAACTAAAATAGCGTTGTCGTGGGTGCTACCTTCCCATCTAGAATTTATAAATGTGAACATGTCCAAGTCGCAAGCTGAGAGTACATTTTGCGATACCGTAGATTTGCGACCACGGAATGTATTTTGTCTTAAGGTAGGGACCTATGCATCCACCAATGTACCATCGATAGCACCGACACAATCCTACTTGAAATATAATTGTTTGACATTAAACGCGAAACAAACTTGGATATTACTTTTATAACATTAAAAAAAAAATATCGTTCCTTACTGTTATTGAAAACATACAGGACAAATGTATAGTCATACCTTGAACTAGGGAAAAAAAACCTCCTGTCATTTAAAATTTTTGCTAGTGTCTCGTCTTGGTTACGTGGTTTGATAACCGTTGTTGCAAGCTTGCACAGTGCCTGCATAATAATTTTGATGTGCCATCAAATAGTTTCAATGGAGTGTTGAAATCTATCAGCTAGTAGTCTATGCCGGCCATTTTGTGTGAAAGTGTACAAAAAAATTCCAAGCGATTTCTCGACACTGATATGCATATGTTCAGTTTCGACAAAGCCATTTTGAAGTAATATGTCTTTCAATAAAATGAATGTTTGGACATCCATTCACATAATGTCTATCATTGTTTCTGGATGGCCATTTAATAAACTGAAGACATAATTATCACCTTTGAATGGACAAGTTCACTGTGGTCGGCTTCTACTTGACGCATTCATATGGTTATGCATAAAAGCAATCATCAAAAAATCTATAAAATCTTCAATAACCTCATCCTCCTCTGATAAGCTCTTCATTGCATTGTTTTCTGTGTCGTATGACATTGTTTCGGCTACATCACAGTGAAAGCATAATTATAAAAAAATGTTCAACAACATACTAACTGGTACCATTATTGGTGAAACTAAAATTAACCAGTGGCTACATTTAGTCGACCTTAGTCATTTATCGAACTAAATGAAAATATACACGCGAAGAAAAAACATATTAATATTTAGTCATCTTGTCATAAGAAAACGGATATGAACGGATATGAAAGAATGCAGAAGAATAAAATGACATGTAAATGTAAAACAGAAATAGTGTCAGAATAGAATAAAAATAAACATACAAAGACGGATAACAAAGAGCATATCATGGGGTGAAAAAAAATGAATAAAAACAAATTAGAAATCATCAAATTATCTTGCACAACCACAAAGAAAACCGCAAACTCGATCAAGCCACAACTTCTCACTTCACTGCAAAGCTAGGATCATAGCTAGGCGCATATGAGTAGGAGTACGCAAAAAAAACCTTCGCCATTCCTTGTTTTTGAATAGTGTCAGTGTCATAACGTACTAGACCGGTGGTATGTTCCCAAGCTCTAGCAGGGCATCTTTATATGCATCAAGGGAATAATCATCACCAATTGCACTTATAGCCTTTGTGTTAGTTGATCGTGCATGTGAATGTTTTGTTTTTGCCAGTACGTAAGTAGTGAAAGCTACGCAGACATCATCGAAACCACTTGACTATGACCTTTTTGAACGACCACTGTCAGTCTGGCTATTTGTAGGGTCCCTCTTTTGACTTTTGCCCTTCGCTGGTTCCATATAACCATCGCCGAATAACTCAACAGCAATGGCTTCAGTAGCATGACTCCCACCAGCTCCAGGGCTCCAAAATTTATTAAGCATTTCATTTTTTTTCATCAAAATCAGGGGCTCATTGTGTGGATGCACGGGCCAAGGCCCCTGTGGCACAACAATTTTCAACAATTTTGGCCATTTCTTGAAAACACTCAAATCCTTTTGTCCTAAACTTCTTTACATTTTTTGTAGCCTACAACAATTGAAAATATTGAAAATAAACATACTGAACGTGAGACGAAATGTTTAAAAAAAAAAAAAAAAATTGAAAATGGTACAGGTTAATGAAAAACATTATCCCAAAATTTATCAGGTGCAACAACCATTCCTACAATGGGATCCCATCCCAGACCAGTCTGTGTCTGCAGTAGCTTGAAAGTTTGGTAATCAGCTTTCAATCGCTGATATTTTTGTCGCACCTGTTTTGGTGTGTATCGAAATCCATACAGATTTTGCAACTGAGTTGTAAAATGATTCCAATGCCTAATTGTCCACACAGTACTACGGCCTATTGTTTGATTTTTTTGTACCTCTTCTCTCAACATGTTTATTAACTTCATTTCAATTCTGAAACTCCACATTCTTGTATCTTGATTGTCATCTGAATTGTTCCTATCTATCTAACAACACACAATTTATATCTAAACTAATCTGAAGTGGATATAAAAAAATAACAATGCAAAAATCAACTACAATTATGTTTCAGTACGAATAAAAATTAATTAATTGAAGTTGTTAAATAGTGTTAGGAAAAACAGATTAATTGAAGTTCTTAAACAGTGTTGGGCAAAACAGATACAACAATAAAAACTAGATAATATTGCATGCAAAAAGTTTGTGAAAGAAGTTTACGCAGTAGACAATAAGAAGAAATAAGCAGAAGAAGGAGAGCAGAAGAAGAGAAGCATGAAAGGGGGTGAGTGCAGGTCGAGCCAGAGGGAGAGAACGGCAGTCGACCAACTGGATGACTTGGGGGACAACCGGCCAGCCAGGTCATAATTCCACCATACCATTCAAAATACATCTCCACTTCCTATTTGGCAACTTTCTCCCTTCGTTTCTCCACTGTGAAAAGCTTCCAACAGTACATATTATGTGTCTTCCGACTTCTTCATTTCTAAAAAGCTTCACGTGTAAAAGAAATATAAAACTGAACTTCACGAGTCGTCTTCCTCTATTTGAAAGATCACGGCTGATGATTCTTCATGGGTTGTGTTCGTCTTTGTGAACTAAGACCATTTTTTAAACCATGTATGTGAACCCCTTTCCCACTCATATCAGCTCCCACAAATCAAGTGAGTTGCAGTTTGTGCGTTGTGAAATATTCACTCTCCGGGCAACCAAACAACGACAAGACCGAGGTCAAATAAATCACAAATTTCTCTCAAAATTGTTTTTACAGCTCACTGAATTTTTGAAACATCCCCAAATTTATTTGTCTCAGATCAAATTTGTCAAACCTATTCTTGAATCAGACGACTACCAAAGAAGCGCACATCCACCATTGTACCCACTCCATCACCGGTGACAACTATTCCACTCCTACTGATTTGGTACGTCTATCCTTCAATCCACTGCTATGTAATAGGTGGTGAGAAGTCGAAATGGGTTCTAATCTGTCTTGATCTGTCCAAACGGTGCTAAGCTGGTCAACTGCCAGGACAACTGGCAGGTCGTCCCCCAAGTCATCCGGTCGATCAACCGCCTTTCTCTCCCCCACCTCCGGCTCGACCTACACTCACCCCCTTTCATGCGTCTCTTCTTCTGCTCTCATTCTTCTGCTTATTGTTTACTGCATTCACTTCTTTCACAAACTTTTTGTATGCAATATTATGTGGTTTTTATTGTTGTATCTGTTTTGTCCAACACTGTTTAAGAACTTCAATTAATCTGTTTTTCCCAACACTGTTTAACAACTTAAATTGATTAATTTTTATTCGTACTGAAACATAATTATAGTTGATTTTCGCATTGTTATTTTTTTATATCCACTTCAGATTAGTTTAGATATAAATTATGTGTTGTTAGATAACAATTCAGATGACAATCAAGATACA